CTCCTGCCCCGCCCCCACCCTGGTCCCGTAATTATCCTTCCATTCCTTCTCCTGTCCTGGTCCCCCACTCCTCCTCCACTCCCCACTCCCCGCGTCGGTGGCCCAGTGGTTAGGCTCTCAGACTCGTAACCGTAAGGTCGTGTGTTCGAATCCCGTCAGGGACCCGACATAATGTACTTGGGAAAGGCACTTTACACGAAATTTCCTCACTTTACTGAGGTGGGAATGGGTACCCAGCTATAGACTGCGAAAGATCTTGGCATTTTGCTAGAGATTAAGCGCTGAATCAGCTAGCTGCTTGCACTGTAGGCTCCCCAGAAAGCTGAGAAGCTTGAAATAATGTTTTCAAATGCGTCGTTAAAAAATATAATATTGTGTGATTTTATTTTGATTTAATGAATAGTAAAAAAAAAAAAAAAAACACATTCTGGGCCGAAACGTGATATTTCGTTGTTACGAAAAGAAATGAAACAAACGATGACTACAGTGCAGACTGGAAAAACAAACAATGGAAGAACAGACGGAATCAATATTGTGAGAAATTTCTCACAGAGGCCGGCCGAGCCAGCCCTGGAGTGGAGACCATGAGTCCCCTTATCGGACTCATCGGCTGTTCTGGGCGAGATAAGCCGGACTGCAACAATCATCTCTACGTTGCTCAGGGGGGGCTGTCGTGGCCTAGATGTTAAGGTGTTCGCCTCTCCTTCAAAGGTCCCGGGTTCGAATCCGGTTAGCGACGGGAAAAAAATCTTCTCTAAAATTGTCTCCTTTCACCTCCTTTCCTGCTCTCCAACAATGTTCTGTGTTCTGCTTTAGTATTCACTTTCTGCCCCCATCCCCTCACCTCCTTTTCCCCCTCCTCTGGGATCATGACTCCTTCTGCAGCCTTTCTACTGCTACTCCTTGGCTCCTTCTCAGTGCTGTCTTTCAGCCACACCCCTCTGATCTTCAGGTAGAAAACATCTACACCTAACCTTTTCGGACAAGGGCGAAAAATCTCGGAGATCTCGTGTGCAAGTTGCGCACGTTTAAGATCCTTTTGTGGTCTAAAATCAATAAGAGTAAGCTTCGGCCGCCACTCGGGCAAAATTCAAAATATCCACTCCAACCGAAAATGTTTAATTAATGTGTCCCGCGCGCTCATATGACCTTTTGCAGTTGCGAGCGCCGTAAAATACTTACCATTAGTGTTGCGCAACACTCGGGCGTTCCTTTCTCTGTTACTAACTCACAGGGCGAGACAAAGGACATATTTTTTTTTATTGAGCATGCTGGACTAGGACATGCAGAGCAGAAGTCTGGAAACCTGCAGCTGCTCAACCGAGGGCTAATCTGGCGCGATAGAGACGCAACGCTTCACAAGACAAGGCTAGGACTATTTTTGATAAAGAGAAACCCCGCCAGCCACCCCCCCCTTTTCCCCCCAAACCGGAAAAAAACCCCAATCAACTGTAAGTGAATGCTGAAGCCGATAGGAATAATTGTCATGAACACACGGCCTACTCTCAGCTCAAGTGACGTTTAATTTTATTATATTTTTTTAAGACTCAACAACAGGCCCTGATCTGGTACCGAATTTCTCCGCCGCCATGTTTGTTTACCGTAAGCTCCTGCCGTCGTCATGGTGACAGAACCGGGGACTACATTCCTCCCCGCGCGCTTGCAGTGGAGGGAGCAGCAGCTGATCGTCATCGCCGAAGAACGGGGGTCACGTGAGAGGGACCAGCCAATCACAGGCCGGGGGTTCTCGGATATCTTTCAATGACGACATCTCTATGGCGACGTTGATATCTAGAAATAGTGCTGGGCGGGCAAAGTTCCTGATTGTTGAAAGCTAGGAATCGTAGGAATCGACTCCGAACCCAATTATTATTACGGTACTTACTTTCTAATGATGTGATTTCTTCCGTGGGTTACCTGGTTGGCTCCGAACTTCTTCGGGGTTTAGGATAAATTTGATTTCGGAACACTACGAAGCATCAACTTTTATTTTTCGAAAAGAAAATTATAAAGGAAAAGAAGAAGATTTTAATTATTAAAGTAACTGGTAGTGGTAGCCGTTGGTTTACGTAAAGAGGAGTCGGAACTTTTAAAAACTAATTGTGGATGGAAATCGGTTCCGGAATCGATCCTTCGCCCAGCTCTATCTAGAAAGCTCTGTGGTAGCGGTGGCGGCAGCGGGTACTGTGGCGTCTTGGTGCAGGTTTTTGGAGACGGAAGCGGAGTAGCCTTCTATCTCTTGTTTGTGCTGCTGCTGGTGGTAGTGGTGGCTGCTGCTGTTCTTTTCGCGGACTGCTTTTACTGCTTACTGATTCCAGAATTCTTGAAGATCGTAGGGGCCCTCTGTGTGTGATAGTGATAGAGAGCCTCATCATCTGATACTTACTTTACTTTTGATACAAACACACTAAAAAAATCTCCTCACTGTTGTCCAGAGAGCGCGATGATGATCGACTTCAAGCTTCCACTTGCTGCTGTTTTGGCCCTGTCAGGTAAGGTTTTCATCTTTAAATCTGACCCCCCCCCCCCCAAAAAAAAAATCAAACCTTGAACGACACTGCAAGGAAAAGTTACGTCACACAAGGCGAACAGACATAGTTATTTGGTCTCACGGCAGCTGAAGTAAACAGGTGCTTCATTTCCATGTTTTTTCTGCTAAGTTTAGGTGTCTGTTTGTCTTAAAATGAACGGTACCCCTCTTGTTCGGTCAGAATCCTCTTTTTTTCTAACTCAAAGATATCGAATA